AGAGAGAGAGAGAGAGAGAGAGAGAGAGAGAGAGTGTGTGATTGTGTGATTTGTTTTAGATAAGTACTAAAGATATGAATTTCTATTAGGCATACCTTCAGTTTTATAGGAAACTGTAAAACTTTCTATCAAGTTGCTTTATATTCTTACCACAAATATATGAGAATTCTGGTCTCTTCATGTCCTCCTTAACAATTCTTTTAATTTAAGACATTCTGATGACTATCATGTAGGATTCTTAACTGGTTTTGTTATTTTAGATGTTTTATTTTTGTTGTTGTTGTTGTTGTTGTTGTTGTTGTTTTTAATCTCATTTCATTATTTTGTAATAAATTTTCCCTACATGCCAACTCCTCTTGATATATTAGCATATAAATGACAAAATTCTCATTAGCTGAATTACTACAAAATACTAATATTCATTAGCTTTATTTCAAAAATTATCTTAACATATATTAAATCCTGTAATCAATGCATTCAGAGTTACATGATTTCTGTCATATTTCACGAGAGAAAGCAAAGTTAAAGGTATAAAAATAAAGAATGTAAAAATACAACAAAAATATTTTGTGAATAAAAACATAAAAGAGAAATTTAATGTCTCTGTTAAGAGTTGGGTGAAAAAAAACATGCTTATGGAGGTTTCTCTTCATTAAGGCAATTATAAAAAAATTTTCGCACTCAATTTGGATCAATTTTGAGAAGCTGAAAAATTAAAAATTGGAAAGGATACTACTCAACGAAAGAGAGTGTGAATAATCACGGTAACAGGCATGATTCAGGGACAGTTATTAACCTCTCAATCTGGAGAAATTTCCTTGTGAAGAACAGGGAATACTTTTACTTTGCACTAACTTATTTCTTTTGCTACAGTTGAGAAACATAATCTTCGAAAGTCATTTTTAAATGATAATACTATGCCATCTACCTAAACAAATTGATACACTAGAGCCCATAGACAAATCTTTACAATAGAATTGAGGACAGATTTTACTACTGTAGTGAATGGCTTCTGGACCAGGAAACACGTACCGTGCTTTTAAATCTTTTATAATGTTCGTTTTCTTGCTCCTAAAGCTAGGGTTTGCCCATTCTTCTCTTAAAATGCTGTTGCCTTTATTGACTCAATGATTACTATCAGATGTCACCTAGACTACTTAACCATATATCATAATGCCCATTAAAGTATGTGCCTACAAACATATGGAAATAATACTAAATAATGCTGGGCACAGAGCCTCAGTGCACCCATGCATCAGCATAAGCAATAAAGTGTTTTACTGACTAGAGACGTGGTACTTGAAGACAGGGTTACAAAAAGTCCCTTGTGCCCTCTTCAAGAGAATATATCAAATTATTTCATTGGATGCTGTTTCCACGTAAACTAACAAAAGAGGAGACAGATCTAAGCTATCCTTCCTTTTACTAATCTGTCATCCAGAGAGCATTGCTTGAAATTAAGAGGTTTTTTTTTTTTTAAGATTGTAATTATGTCCTTTCCTCTTTCTCAAGGAGTGGCACAGCTGGGTGCAAGATATAACCACAAATGTCATAAACCGTGAGAGCAGAATTATTTGGTGTACATCATGAGGCTGTCCATTATGTTACTGTTACAGACTACTGAAAAGCGCAATGTACTAAAAATCAGCAAAGAGCTGATGAATATGTAAGACATAAATTTAAGAACTAAGTATTAGTCAAAAGATTTTTAAAAAATTCTTATGTGGCATTTCTTTAAAATTCATAGTCACCATTGCAAAACTGTTATAGACAAATAAATATCTAAATGAGCAGATTTCACCTACATTTGAATATTTAATACCCCCCCATAATTCATAAAGATACTTCAAGTATGCTCTAAATGTCCTATCTTAATTTGAGAGACAAGATGCTAAATATCACCCACAATTTCATTGTAATTCTTAAGGTGTATTAAATCATTTGTCTTAGCCTTGAAGATTAGTGAATAGTAGTGAATAAAAAACAATACCAAGTTCCAAAAATAATTTAAAGCACTAATTATTTAAATGGGTATTTTGGTAGTCATTCAAGTTTCGCTAGCATATAGAATATTCTATCCCTATGAAGTTAAATGTGACTATATAACTTGCTATGATCAGTGAGTCATGAGAAGTTATTTGGACTATCCCCATATTAAGTTTATAAGGGTCAAAGGGAGATTTTTCCAAAGTTTGCATCCTTTGGCCATAGTGCCTTTCCATGTTCCCAGAGTGGCCCCTCCATAAATCTGGGTCTTGCATGAAGACATGGAAAAGTATGGAGATTAACCAATACAAGATGCTCACAAAGCAAAAGTCAGATAAGCCTTTGTTTGGGGTTGTTTGTTGCTATAGCATAAACTAGTCTGAATTGACTGATGCCAGTAATGGGGTGAGGGCATAATAAAACATAAGAAAATGTGATGATGTCTTAGTGGTCAATTGGAAACCAGGAAAGAAATAGATATTACACCTGGAATGCTGGGTATCTGTAGAGTACAGTAGCAAAGCCTCAGTAAATTGTAATTTCTATTAATTTGAAAGGAAACCATATGCCAAAAGAATTTTTAGTATCAGAGGAAAAGTCTGCAAATTGAATGTTGATTGACAAGACTTCATTTGGATAATGTAATATTTTTAATTAATTATTTTTATTTATATATGACAGCAGAATGCATTATAATTCTTATTATACATATACACAGTTTCCATATCTTTGTATACAAAGTATATTCACACCAATTCGTGTCTTCATACATGTACTTTGGATAATAAAGTCCATCACACTCCACCATAATTTCTAACTCCATGACCCCCTCCTTTCCCCTCCCATCCCTCTGCCCTATCTAGAGTTCATCCATTCCTGCTATGCTCTCCCTACTCCACTATGAATCAGACTCCTTATATCAGAGAAAACATTCAGCATTTGGTTTTTGGGGATTAGCTAACTTCACTTAGCATTATCTTCTCTAACTCCATCCATTTACCTGCAAATACCATGATTTATTCTCTTTTATTGCTGAGTAATATTCCATTGTGTATATATGCCACATTTTTTATCCTTTCAGCTACTGAAGAGCATCTAGGTTGGTCCCACAGTTTAGCTATTGTGAATTGTGCTGCTATAAACATTGATGTGGCTGTGTCCCTGTAGTATGCTGTTTTTAAGTCCTTTGGTTAAAGACCAAGGAGAGGGATAGCTGGGTCAAATGGTGGTTCTTTCCAAATTTTCCAAGAGTCATTTGAATAATGTAATATTTTAAACAGAAGAAGATCTGGTTTAAGAGCAGTGATAAAGTAGAATAAAGTGCAGAAATGTAGAGACTTGCAGGATTAGACAGGACTAATATTCCCTAAGAGACAGATGATAGAACCAAAAAGTTACTAGAGATTCAAGGCCATTTAAAATTCAGCCTTGGAGAAAATATCTAATTGGGGCCATAATTATCAAACCCATTGTTGAATTTTGTAAATAAGATATCTTAAAGCAGAGACCAAATTATGATTATGACACCTGGCAAATCTTTTCGATTTAAGAGGTAGCCTGGAGAAAGATACAAATATAGATTTAATGAACTGAAGCTACCTCCAATTATTCAGTTTTTATAAAAGCCAAATCAATAAATATGGCAAATTTAAGAATTCTGTCTAGAAAAAAAGCTTTGGATGTAGCGTTAGTACATGAAGCTCAATTGAATAAAATAGATAAGAAGTCATTTTAGCTTTAATAGAATGGTACTAATAAATAAATAAATAAATAAATAGCCCACAAGTTATAACTGAGAAGTGTAGGTCTTCTGGGAAATTCAAAAGACTTTGAAACTTCAGTAGTACAAAAGCAGACTGAGAAAACACCTTACCTTAAGGAAAACAGAATCACTAAAAGTCTATACCATGTTTCCAGTAAAAATAATAAAAAAAAAGCATCACTCAATAGGTAGAGAGTTAAGGGACATGGAAAATTAAAGACTGGGAAGTCTCTGTAAATAAAAATCCTCCACCACCACCAAAGTAAGAGCCTATCTCAACAATGTCCAGTGTGATGTCAGAATTGCAGTGATCTCCCATGGCACTTCTTTCCAAGAAGATTGTTTATTGTGGTTACACAGTGCCTAGTTCCTTCATTTTATATTGAACATGAGGACATTCAATTTCTCAGTTTAGTTATAGATTTCTAGAAGGAAGCAATCATGTGGAGAATGAGTGGTAAAATTTTTGGCATAACTCAAGTTCTTGAACGTTTAGTTAGACCTAGTGATTGAATGCAATGAATGGGTCAACTATCACAGATTAAGCTAGTCAGAGAAAGAATACACTTACTTTTAGGTGACAAAAAAAATCAGATTATGGTAGTTTTTAGTATGCCACCTAATATTCCTGGTTCTCCAGGGCACATATGAGTCTTGATCTTCCCCATTATGTTAAAACTAAGTGAGATTACTTGAATTGTAATGAATATAAAATTATGAGGCTGAGTTTTAGCTTAGTAAGAGAGTACAAGCTTAGTATGCATGAGGACATGAATCCAATCCTCAGCAACAAAGTCAAAAAGAAAAGACAGGAGGAGGAGGAAAAGGGGGGAAGAAAAGGAGGAGGAAGAGGGGGGAGGAGGGGGGGGGGAGGAGGAGGAGATGGAGAAGGGAGGAGGAGGGGGAGGAGGGGGAGGAGGAAAAGAATTGGCAAGCGCCTTTCGCAATGGAAAATTTAGGAAACTTTTATGTGTTCTATATACACTATATCTTTGTTATACTTTCTTTTTCTTCTGTAGTGGTCCAAGTGCTATTTGCTTTTCAACAGAGGTTCAAGAATAATGATCACAAAGAAGAGAAGCACTCAGCAATTCTGAAATGTTTTCATAGCACACGTAAGAAATACTTTTCTGTTCTTTTACACCACCAAAATTTGGAAGATTTTGTTACTAGTGCATGACCTAGACTGTCCTGACCAACCATTTTAAAGAAATGATACAGAATGAGTTTCAAGTGCTAAGAGGATAAATTTACCTGAGGTTGTAATATTTAGAATATTTTTATTAAACTGAAATGGTTTTACTGTAGGTCACCTTATAGATATTTGTGAAAAGAAATCACTTTCAGTATATTCCAAAAATAGCATTAATTCTACATGTAATATTGAAGCTTGAGAAAATATAGGTGACTATTTGACTACTGGATTGGTGATAATTAAGCATGTGATCAAAGATAGGAAAACACAATTGGCTGATTTTACTACATAAGTATTAAAAACATTTTACTGTTATATGTAATAAAATTGTAAGAATGTTAATATCTGCAATACATATTACAATGGATTCACATGTTAATGAGTATAAAATGAAGATAAGACAAACACTTCAAGTTAGAATCCTGAGCAATAATTAAAATGACAATTTAGGAAGGAAAGAATTTAAATGAACATTAAATACTGAAAAAGTTTGGCTTAACTAGACTTGTAGAAGTCCATGTGAACCAGTGGAATTCCAAATTTCACAAGTAAAAATTAGCAAAATCTTTAAAATGATAAGGATATTATTAGATTGGCATACTCAGACTGGTATGAGTTTTTTGTTAGTGAAACAAATTTGATAAACTATACACACACTCACTGGACACAGAATATGTGTGATGACGCTATTTTATTTCTAGACTCATCTATAAAAATGTAATTTTTATAAATAATTGCAAACATAAAATATTCATTTGTCAAAAAATGTTCATTGTTACTGCATAATAATTTTAAACAACTGAAAACAATGTGAAAGTCCAAAAGTATTGAATTGTCAAGCAATTTATATTTTATTTTCTCCTTCATTATGTAGTCCTTAAAATTATGTCAGTAAAATGTTTCAAGAAAATGTAAAATATTTATATAATAACTTATATCAAAGCAGGATAGATAATGAACACAAAATATAAAAATATTAACTAAACTTTATTCAAGGAAGGGGATTATAAAAAATTTAATATAATTTTACATTGAATACTGCCAGAACACTCTCTGTAGGCAAAGAATAGTTTGTTAGGAATTGAAAAATCAAATCAAAAGTCCCCATTAGAAATTCATTTCCTGGAGTTCATTCCTCAAAAAAGAAAAAACCAACAAATAAATGAATTCACACTTCATCTCAAAACCCTAGAAAAGGAAGAGCAAAACAACAGCAAATGTAGTATTAGACAAGAAATAATTAAAGTCAGTGCGGAAATCAATGAAATTGAAACAAAAAAAAAATCATTGAAAAAATTGATAAAACTAAAAATTGGTTCTTCGAAAAAATAAATAAGATTGACAGACCCTTAGCCACGCTAATGAAGAGAAGAAGAGAGAGAATTCAAATTACTAACATATGGGATGAAAAAGGCAATATCACAAAGGACACCACAGAAATACAGAAGATAATTAGAAAGTATTTTGAAACCCTATATTCCAAAATAGAAGATAGTGAAGATATCAATAAATTTCTTAAGTCATATGATCTGCCCAGATTGAGTCAGGAAGACACACACAATTTAAACAGACCAATAACACAGGAAGAAATAGAAGAAGCCATCAAAAGACTACCAACCAAGAAAAGCCCTGGACTAGATGGGTATATAGTGCAGTTTTACAAAACCTTCAAAGAAGAATTAATACCAATACTTTTCAAGTTATTTCAAGAAATAGAAAAAGAAGGAGCTCTTCCAAATTCATTCTATGAGGCCAACATCACCTTGATCCTGAAACCAGACAAAGACACTTCAAAGAAAGAAAACTACAGACCAATATCTCTAATGAATTTAGATGCAAAAATTCTCAATAAAATCCTGGTGAATCGAATACAAAAGCATATCAAAAAAATTGTGCACCATGATCAAGTAGGATTCATCCCTGGGATGCAAGGCTGGTTCAATATACAGAAATCAATAAATGTTATTCACC